GACATGGTGGCAGGGATGGAGGTTATGCATGGGCACAGCAACATGGACTTCCACTCACCAAGGCTGACTTGGCCACTGCCACTGCTGAGTGCCCCATTTGCCAGCAGCAGAAACTAACATTAAGTCCAAGATATGGGACCATTTCTCGGGGAGATCAACCAGCAACTTGGTGGCAGGTTGATTACATAGGACCACTTCCATCATGGAGGGGACAGTGTTTTGTTCTTACTGGAATAGACACTTACTCTGGATATGGATTTGCCTCTCCTGCACCTGATGCTTCCACTAAAAGTAATATTCGTGGACTTACAGAATGCCTCATCCACCGGCATGGCCTCCCATATAGCATTGGGTGGGTGAAGGGAGACATCGGATAGTGTAAGACATGACAAAATAATAATAATTTATAAATTATCAAGGGTTCATGAGGGAGGGGGTGGAGAGGGAGGGGAAAAATGAGGTGCTGATACTAAGGGCTCAAGTAAAAAGAAAATGTTTTGAAAAAAAAAGAGAAAATGTTTTGAGAACGATGGCAAGAAATGTACAAATGTGCCTGACACACAATGGATGCATGCGTGGATTGTGATAAGTTGTATGAGCCCCTAATAAGATGATTTTTAAAACAGAGAAAAATATGTTTGGTCTTAATTTTCTTACTTTATTTTCTGATATAGTCTGTTTTCTTTGGTCTAAGTATTTCATGCTTTTACTCCAATAGCTTATAAAGCCTATCAGGTGTTTCTAGATATCATATTGTTTATATTTGTAAATTTAAATGATGCAATAAAACATCTATTTTAGGATTTATCAATTTCTAGTACAATTTGTTTCTATAAAGTTAGGAAAATTAGTACATAGACTTCCTGCTAACTTTTTACTCTTCCTCCCGCTAATTTGTTGTTGTTGTTAGGGGCTGTCCTAACAGTTGGTTCTGATTCATAGCGGCCTTACATACAGCAAAATGAAACACTGCCCAGTTCTGCGCCATCCTCACACCAATTGTTATACTTGTCCCATTGTTGCAGCCACTGTGTCAATCCACCTCATTTAGGGTACTCTTTTTCACTGATGGTCTACTTTACCAAGCATGATGACCTCCAGGGACATCCTCCCGATATACATGTCCAAAGCACCTGAGATGAAGGCTCACCATCCTTGCTTCTCAGGATCATTCCGGCTGCGTGTACTTCTTCCAAGACAGATTTATTTTTTCTGGCAGGCTATGATATACTCCGTATTCTTTACCAACACCATAGTCAAAGGTATTGATACTTCTTTCATCTTCCTTAAGAATTGTCCAGCTTTTGCTTACATATGAAGTGATGGAAAATATCATGGTTTCGGTCAGGTACACCTTAAGCCCTCAAAATGACATCTCTGCTCTTTTAACACTTTAAAGAGAGCTTTTCTTTTGCAGTAGATTTGTCCAATGCAATATGCTATTTGATTGTTTGACTGCTGTTCCCATGAGTGCTGATTGTGGATCCAAGTAGAATGGAATCTTTGTATTTTTTTTTTAGTAGTTCTAGTCATGGCCTGGGTAAGAATTTAAATTTGCTTAGTCTTAAAGGTTCCATTTAGATAGATGCATATCTGTGGTGGAACAGTTTTGTTTCAATTTTATTCAGATGAAACTGTGTTTTCCCAGTTATACGAGTTAACGCCAGTTGTTTCTCTGATCAAACTCTTTGTTAGAGCTTACCACCCAACCTTACAAAACTTGTCTCCTCCATTCCTGAATTATTTTCAGTCATCTCTTGATTGTCTTCTCATGTTCTTCCTTCACTTGAGGCAGACGTCACTATATTTCAGCTGAGCTGATATCCAGAGTTTACGTTTCAGCTTGTAATTATTTCCTAGATTCAGTAGAAATGAATTGCTTTTACTCCCACTCTTTTATATGTACTTAAAATTTTATAATAGATATGTAAATATCTGTATTATATAATTTTGTCTTAGAAAAGAAAATGGTATATAAATGTAACGTACTCTACTTCTTTTGACTAGGAATCTTCTACACAGATAAGCTGCTGCCCTGTGTGATTTGAGTACTTTCTATAAAACCATTAACAACATATATACTCACGGCCATCCAGTCGATGCTGACTCATAGTGGTCCTCCTGTGGGTTTCAGACCTGTAACTGTTCATGGGAATAGAACACCCAGTCTTTCTTCCCTAGTTGCTGGTGGTTTTTAACTCCCAACCATGTGGATCACAGCCCAGTGTGTACCCACTATTCCAGGGTTCCTCATTAATAATATATACATAAATACATTTACAAAACAATTAAGTCTGTTACCTGCACAAAATATCCTTAGCTGCTGAACCGGTGATATAAGTTGCAAATGAGTGGTGAACAGATCAACAAATGCTCCAGGATAAATAATGAAGAGAAAAATTCCAAAGCCATTAAATCGAACTTGCTCCCTAAGAAATCACATAAGAAAAACGAATGAACTTACTAATGATATCACATTTGTGAAATAAATCATATTTGTAATTTTAAGACTTTTTACTGTAATTCAATTTTATATAAACAAGTCTGTCTTGATAGCCCCCTCTCTGGATAGCCTTTACATAATTATAATGTTCTTTAAGTGTACAGATTTATTTATCTGTGAAGTTGAATTCGGTATAACCAGGCATTTTGAGTAGACCTACAACTTCAAATTTTTAATAAATCAATATGCTGAGCAAATCAACTTGAATTACTCATATAGAAAGGTGGTAAATATTTGTGAGAAACTAAATGAAAAATATGTTGATGGCTTATTTTCAGAGGACACTTTACAATATATAATTTAAGAAAACTACCTACATGATTAGGTTTGCCTTACCTGTTATAAATAATGGTGGGGATTTATCCAAGTATATGTGCTTATTGCACTAACATCAAAGTAAGTGCGACCCCTAATAAAATGATTATTTTAAAAAACATTAAAGTAAGTGCATTTCAAAAATGCATAATGCTTATATTGTCCTTCAAAGAATCATTAAAATAGTTCTTCATTAATAATTTTCTATCAGTTCATTCTCCAAATGATGTTACTTTTAGTAGTGTCATAAGGCTAGATAGCTGCTCAAAAAAGCATCACCCAAATTTATTATGCTCTGTACATAATACAATTGTAAAATTAACTTTTGGGGAGGCCTGGTGGGATTGTATAAAAAAGTACCTACATTATTTCAGAAACACATTGTGATTGGTGATAATGCACCCATAGATAAAACCCTAAAGGCTGCAAAACTGAACATGTGGAAGTACGGGTGAAAGGGATCTTATACCACTACCGCGCCCACCTCTGTGGCACCTCTTGTGTGCCATCAAGATGAGGAATTCTTTATTGCCACTCAATATTCTCATTCATAAGCAAACGAGAAGTAAAAAGATGCGATAATATATTCTCCTCTAAAACAGCTATTCTTAATCTTTTCTGTGGTCCCCAGTCCAAAGGATAGAACACATTCCCATCAGTGCATTTGTCCATCATGGCAGTAATTATCACTAGAGACCGAGGGGCTGAACTCATCCCTATGACTAGTATAGGCATTCAGGAGGGTTTCAAATGCGTACACATCATTACAATGATAAATATGGGGTAGTTGAGACCCAGAACAGAGCAGGTTACTTGAAGCAAGTCCCAGTGCTCGTCGTCTTATGCTCCACTATTTTGGCCATGGTATTTGTTAACACTCCAGTGCTTTCCCCTATCTTGCTATAGCCAGGAGAGGAAGTGAGCAGAAGCAGATAAGCCAAAAAAGTCTCCAGAAAGACAGAAAATACAGGTGCTATAGCAAAGGGTGGTAAAGAAAGGAAATGGTGCTCAGTATCAGATAGACTAGCATCTGGGGTCTTAAAGGATTGTTTCCAATCAAGCAGTCATCTAAGTGAGATGTCAATTAAATCTACATGGAAGAAGCACACCAACGTCTGTGACCCAAGGGTTGTAAATGATATGATCCAAATTGAAGTGAAGAATCGTAGCAGAGCTTACATTGGGAGGTTCTGGTGTGCAGAAGGCTAGGGGTGACAGCGGAAGCTCAAAATACATTGGCAGGATCCACACAGCGAATAAGCCTCCGGTTAATTCCCTCTAACCGTAATTGGGGGAAGGGAATAACTTGGTGATGAGACAGAGAGTACTGAAGAGAAAACTATAGATTAAAATGATAAATCTGACTCAAATGGTTAAAGCCTTGTCACTTAATACACTTTGTGCTTGATGTGGTTTTTAATATTTTTGGGTTTTTTTCTCCCCCTATATTGTATTTTGTCATTGTGGGTAGCCTTCTTGAATCTTTGTTACATGGTTTTCGGCATATGAAACCCAGGATCGTTGAACCCACAGAGAAACAACTAGAATAAGGGTTCCTGGGACAGTGGGGGAGGCGGGGAAGCGGGTAAAGGGGAGCTGCTATCAAGGGACTTAAGAAGGAGGAAACGGTTTTGAAACTGATTTGGGTAGCAATTGTACAATTCTGCTTGAAGTGATTTAACTATGGAATAGTATAATGTCTGGATTAGCTCCTAATAAAATGGTTTGAAAGAAAACGAAAAAAAAGAAAAGTCTTCAGAAGGCAAGTGGGTGGGCTTTGAGGGCAGTGGGTATTATTCTGGCTTGATGATAAACAAACAAATCAGGTATCAGGATTGGATAAAAAAAAAATATATCAGGATGTGCCATGTGGTTATGACCAGGCTACAGATGGCCAAGTATAGAAAGATCCAGGTCACAGATATATCCATGGTTACTGAGTATATTCATCACTATATTAATCTTCTCTATAAAAGATAAGTTATTTCAAAGTACGAATGGTGGGTATGCACTGGGCACTAGTCACAGAACAAAAAAGACCGAGATATCAAACGTACCAGATTTCAGTCAGAAACCTTCCTAAAGGAGACATTTTTTTGCATAGAGAAACAAAGGTAAGTATCAATACCTAATAGCTGCTATCCCATGTCCAATTTCATGTACAACACCACTAATGAGGACTGCAGCGAAGAAATAGGTCAGCTGGTTGACAGGTAAATTTATACCAGGAACCTGTTTAGAAACACAATAAGATATACACATTTGAGCGCTAAGGATCACAATGTTCACCCCGGGTGGAAACCTCCAAGGTGAATGCTCTCCATTTCTAACGCTATAAAAAGCAAACACGGGCGTCAGGGTGGTTTTTTTTTGTTTGTTTAAACAAGGCAGGATCTCGGTAACAAGCACAACTTTAATGTAATGAGAATGGAAACTCCAGGTTAAAGTTGAATCTGGCTTTCCGATAATACTTATGGTTATAAACCCATTAGAATTGGTTTCTTTGACATGCTAATGAGAGAGTAGTAGTGTCCTGTATGTCTTCAATATTTTGAGATATAAAACAGCAGATTAAGCAAACAGTAAACAAGTAAAGATGGTAAAGATATATGCAATGTCACATGAGCTCTCCAAGGAATCAAGAAACACAGGTTGAAATGAGACAAGGACCTTTCCCCAAAGCCAACAGGGGGTGAATGCCTTCCCCTGGGGCTAGTGCCGTCAATTTGGGCGTTTAGCCTACTAAACAGCGAGAAAATAAACTTCCGTTTGATAATTACTTGTGGTATTTCTGTTACAGCAGCACTAGATAACTGAAACAGAGCTTATCCTACCATTATAGAACATACCCTTCACTACTGTCAAACATGTATTTATTGCCATCCACCCTTTCCTCTTATATAATGATAAAAAAATTACAACACCTAATCTCATTTAACTGCATTCTGAATTTTTATACTGTTCTGTGTTTTCATATCTATGTGTCTATACGAGGGGGTACCCTCCCGGAAAAAAAAATTTGTTTTCAAAGCTATGTGTTTTTTTTTTTTTTACAAAACCACCTTTTCATCTTCAAAGTACTCTCCATTACACTTAATATAATTGTCAAATCTGAGATTCCATTATTGGAAACAGTTTTCAGACTTATCTGATTGGATGGCTGACAGCACCTCCCTCGTTTTTTTTCCTCCTTCTCCATTTTATTTATTTTTTTAAATCAATTTATTGAGACTCATACAATTCATCACAATACATAGATCAATTGTGTAAAGCACATCTATACATTTGTTGCCCTCATTATTCCCAAAATTCGCTTTCCTCTTGGGTTCCCGGAATCTGCTCATTTTCCTTTTTTCCCCTCCCCCTCCCTTCCTCCTCCCCTCTCCCCCATGCACCCTTGATAATTTATAAATTATTATTGTATCTTATATTACACTGCCCGGCGTCTCCCTTCACCCACCCCTCTGCTGCCCGTCCCCCAGAGAGGAGGTTATATGTAGCTCCCTGTGATCAATTCCCCCTTTCTACACCCCCCTTCCCTCCTGGTTTCTTCCCTCATTTTTTTAATCACCTCTTTTACATCATTAAACTGCTGTCCTTTCATGTCCCTTTGCATTCACAGAAACAAAAAGAAGTCGCATGGAGCAAGGTGTATGGGGCAAGAGAGGCATGCTGTTTTTTGCCAAAAACTGGCACACTGAGATGGCTGCGTGAGCAGGTACACTGTTGTGGTGGCAAAAACAGTCCTCAGTCTGCCACAAATCAGGCCCTTTTTGTCGCACACTGTTATGCTATATTTTCAGAACATCTAATAGAAAGCTTGATTAACTCCAAATGCACTATGAATGGACACTTTTGTCCACTGGGGAAGTTGAGGGACATCCTGAATGAGGTTTGTCATCAATCGACATTTTACCTTTTTTGAAATGAGAAATCCACTCATACACTTGAGTTTTTCCTATAGCTCTGTCTTTGTAAGCTGTGTTCAACATCACAACAGTTTCTGTGGCATTTTTCCGAGCAGGAAACAGAATTTCACATCTGCACACTGTTCTCTTAAATTGGCCATCACAAAAACAAGTTTCTAGCGAAACTGCTTTTACAAAAAGAATTCACTGTGACCAGAGAGAACCTTCCCAGATTCTCAAATTCCCAGATTCTCAGAGTGAGTTGCTAGAAGCTCAACTAGCAGGAAAAATGCATACTCTGAAAGCTCTGCCCATTGGCACTTTTTCTGCTCCCCCCCATTTTTTGGGGGGGGTACCCCTTAGTATACTGTTGGTCGGACTGTCAAATGGTGTAACCACTGTGAAAACAGTATTGTGCTTCCTTAAAGGGTTGCAAATAGAAATGCCATGTGACCCAGCAATCCCGTTACACGGTACACATCCTACACACATGAGAGCTGCAACATGAATAGATAGGTGCACACCCATGTTCTCTGCAGCACTATTCACAATAGCAAAAAGATGGGAAACCACCTAAATCTCCAGCAATGGAAGAATGGATCTACAACACATACACCCAATGGAATACTACATAATTTTAAAGCATAATCTTGAATCTGTGAAGCATACGGATAAACCTGGAGGGCATTATATTGAGTGAAATAAGTCAATCACAAGAGAGGAAGTATTTTATGGCACTATTATTGTAAAAAGTCAAGAAAAGGTTTTCACACTAAATGAAGCATTCTATGATAGTTACCAGGGTGTAACAGGCAGGGAGGGTAAATTACTGGCTAGGTGGTAGATGTGTGATAACATGGATTAAAGGGTAAGCAGTGTACAATGAGGGAAGTCAGCCTAAAATGATGGAGGTAGCAGAAGACAGTGAGAGGGAGTATAAGACTTAAAGGCAATAGAGGTAAATGCTGTTACGTATAAAATCCTGCACACATACGGTCACCTATCAAATAACCATTTTATAATGATACTGAATCAATTAACCAAAAATAATGTGAAGCCAAGATTTAATTTATTTGACAAATAATATACTGGCAAGTCCTCAGGTTATGAACGAGATTTTTTTCTGTTGTCTTAAGTAGATTTTTGTTGGCAAGGTGGAACAGGGGCCGAGTGTTCTTATTTATCCTTACTTTAGTAAAAGAAAAATCTTGGAGCCTTTTCATGATTTAAAAACTACCCATGCATCAAATGAAGGGGATTATGATGAACAATTTGCTTCAGACAAGAGTTGACTCAATCATTTCAAAGTGAGAGCACATTTATTATATAACATTAAGGAGTAGGAAATATAGGAATTATTTCTTGGTCAAATATTTAAAACCTGGAGACTTAAAGTATTGAATTTCATTTCTATGTAAATATGAAATATCCCAATTAAAAATATAACTAACATTTATCTTCTCTAAAATTCTTTATTAGAAACTGGAGGATTCCTAATACATTTTGGGGGGGAAATTCAGGCAAATGGCAGATATCAAAGTTTGTCTTTTTTTAGGCACAATGGTTACTATGTAGAAAAAAAATAAATTGTGCTGCAGAAAATTCTCAAAAAAAAAATCCTGCACAAACTAACAGTGAACTGCCAATAGATGCAAGGCCAGATAGGTGGGCAGAATGGGTGTGGGAGGGAGAGGGGGAGTACACCCACAGATATACTGTCAAATATGTATATTTGACAAGATATTCGTACATGGGTATTTACTGTTGTTGCAAATATATCCATGAATGGGGTAGAGCATACTAGGGCCAAAATTATGAAAACTTCTTAACCTTAATCAAACGTCTTAAGGGAGTCACTGGAGGTCTCAGGAACATTGTCTCGGGGTACACCAAGGTCAAGTGGCATAACATAGGCCATAAAGGCAATGTTCTACATCCGACTAGGATCTTAAAAGCTCACGAGTGGCCATCTAAGGTGCAACTATTGGTTCCTCTCTGTCCAGAGGAAAGAAGAGTGAAGAAAATCAAAGACACATGAAAACAAACAGTCCATTGGACTAATGGACCACGCATACATCAGTCTCTACAACCTTGAAACCAGAAGAATTAGATGGTGTCTGCTACTACTACCATAACCAACTGTTCTGAAAGGAATCACATTAAAAGGTCCTGGATTGAGTGGAAGAAGTATGTGGAACAAACCTCAAAATCCTAGAGACCAGGCTTACCGGTCTGGTCAGATAGAGCCTGGTGGAACCCCCAAGACTATGGCCCTCAGTTAACCTTCACAGATCTGGAAATGAACTCACCCCTATGGCTAAATGTTCAACCACAAATAGACAAGGCCCACAAGAAGAACACCCCCAGGGAGGTATGCACAACTCAGAATAATAATCCATTTGAGATCAAAGGAGCAGCATTTATCCAACGAGAAAGTTCAGAAAAGTTAGGCAAAAAGAATAGAAACGGGAAACAGTAAGTGATGCTCACTGAATTCACAGTAAAAAGTTTATCATAATATAAAATAAAAAGTTCATGTATGTAATATTGCACACCCAAGGGAAGTTTGCTGTGGATAAGATGTGCCATTTTTTGTGTGTGTGTGGAGGAGAGGGAGATAGCCAAGAATCTTTCTGTAAGTAATCACACTTAAGTTAAGCCATCTATTAGAGTTTAAACAAGGCTAAGTGGGGTATACAAGGCATCATTAATCCAGTTAACACACTGAGCATCTATTTCTCAAAGTCCAGGAATTGGAACCCAAAAGGTATCCTTCCGGAGGAAATTCCTTCCTTCTTTTACGAGTCATGATTATTTTAAATTAATTATAAAACATATTTCATGCTGGAAAATACAAAAGAATGACCTGTTCTCTATCATTCTGTTTGCAAAGCATACACAAAAAAAACCTATCAATGTTTTCATGTCTGTCCTTCTAGTCTCTTCGTACACACATATCTTTACATACTATACTTTTACTGTAAATAAGGTTTTGACTCCTGTCCCTTTCACTTAACAGGCTCATGAACTTTTCCCATGAATCTTTTCTGGCTCAATGTGAGTTTTTAATAGCTGCCCTGTACTCCGCTATTTTATTTTTTAAAAGTTTCTGCTTTCATGTGATCAACATATTTATACATATCTACCCAAATATTGGGGGCCTAAATTCTTGAATCAGCATATAGTAGACAGTTAAAAGCTCTGGTTCTGGAGCTCGAGTTCCTATTTCCATCACAAACCAAGCAACCACAGGGCGGAACAGATTATTGTTCTAACACTTTAGTTTCCTCAGCACCGAGGGAGGGGAATGAGAATGTATCTACA